TTTTTTTTTTTTTTTTCCTCAGGCTTCTGCAAACGATTCCGGGGCGGGGAGCTTAATGAACCCAATGAGTAACTCAGAAGTCGTTGTAAAATTGCAAAAATTTAGAGCAATGCTTTTCAGATAGAAAAGGCGCGGTTACAAATGGCTTTGCGTTTCAGTAACTGCACCCGAGAGAATTAAAAAAATTCAGTGGAAATAGACACGTGGTTTCATCCTTCAAAATAATAGGAGAAGCTTCGGGTGGATACATGCAATTACTGGCGTGCTTTTTCCAGCTTGATGTTAATTACCCATGCCCTAAGAGCACAAGCCCTTTCTGTCGGTATTCTGTGTAATGCAGAAACCCCACCGTACAATTTAAAAATCTGTGTTTTCCCAGCCGTACGGCTCAGAATGCTGTACCCGGGTAATGCAGTGGTGGTCCTGAGGATTAGTCTACCAAAACCAAACGGGCTACCCGTCTAGCAGCATTCAGAATAGTAAGCATTTCAACAGCAATTGCTGTTCTCTGCCTGGAAGGGAGCTGCCACTTCGGTGTTCTGCTTGTAGCTTGAATATGAGCTCTGCACGTACCTGTAGGACGATGGCTTTTCATATCTTAAGTTCTGCCATCATTCTTCGATGCATATTTGCACTATCGACTTCTGCAAAGATCAGATTTCTTTTGTTGTCCGAGTCCGAACATTAACACTATCGACTTCTGCAAAGATCAGATTTTTTTTGTTGTCCGAGTCCGAACATTAAAAAGGAAAGGGTGTGTTTCTTCATCCTTTAGTATCCACATGGCCCCGATTTGGAAGCCAGAGAATGATTTATGTTTATCGTAATAACTGCGTATTTGCTAATGTTTCTCTGATGTATCTGACAGCACTATGGAAATAGCTCTTGCTGACTCGTGTAAAGAAAATGGATGAGAGGGTGAAGTAGGAGGTGAATCATGACGGGTTTTGGGTTTTCTTCTTTATGTAACCTAGACTCCAGAATTACGTTGCTTTGTTTATAATGCAAGGCAATTTCACAAAGCAGAGTTTCTTAAAAGTGTAGTAAAGATGCATAGGATATCATAGGTTGTCTGACCAGAGGACTGATCTTATTTTTGGAAAGTTGTGCTTACCATCGTAATTGGAAGAAATTAATAGATGATAGGTGGGCAAGTGGTGGACATTGTTGTGTGTATATACTCATGAAGTTTTTGCATGCCACTGGAGGTGCATGAAGGAAGACGGCCTTGTAATAACCACAGTTTCCTTTTTGTGTCATGTATTGCATAAGAAAGTACATTTTATCAGCACCAACAAAAATGTGAAAAGTGCAGTACAGTATACGCGAATGATCTCCAAAGGGATGTATGTCACTGCCCTCTCAGTTTATGTCCAATTGTTTTTCCATCCTGGTCTCCATCACTGTGCTGTTCTTTCACAGTAAATTCACATTAATGACCTCCATTCTTCAAGAAGACAATCTTAAAGGCGCAGGAGCAGGCTGTCCCCATGTGCCGAAAGACAAGCTGGCGGGGAAGAAGACCAGCCTGGCTGAACAGAGAGATTTGGCTGGAACTCAGGAAAAAGAAGGAGAGTTTATGACCTTTAGAAGAAGGGGCAGGCAACTCAGGAGGACTGCAAGGATGTTGTGAGGTTATTCAGGGAGAAAATTGGAAGGGCCAAAGCCCAACTAGAACTTAATCTGGCTACTGCC